AAATTGTCAAACAGGATTCTTTGAATTTGATTAGGGCATAGAAAAATTTCACTCTGGGTAGCTGTAGGACAGAGGCAGCATCATCTCTTTCTTAGACTCCATTTGTTAATTATTGTTAAAGAATAATCTTTTTAGGCAGGATCTGGAATTTCATTATTTGTCATAAAAAATGTAAATCATGTCTTCAGAACACCATTTTACTGGCAAAAGTGGAGAAAGAGATATATAGGATTTAATTTAATAAAAGTAAAACAATATTATAATACATCCAGAGTTAATCTTTCATATCTGTATGAAGCATTTCCTTTTACCCTTAAAAAATAAGTCTATGACCTGATTCAACAATTAGTTGTAAGCTATTAAAGCATATTGAAATGATAATGGGAAAGATAAGCTCCAGAATAGACTTTAGGCATTTGATACTGTGGTGTTTGTCTTTGTGTGCAGGAGACGGATGCTGAGCCCTTACTGTGACACTCTCAGAAGTAATCCATTGCAGTTAACTTGCAGACAGGACCAGAGAGCAGTTGCAGTGTGTAATTTGCAGAAGTTTCCAAAACCTTTACCTCAGGAGTACCAGGTAACACTTGTTTGGGGAACAGTTTTAGGAATTAGCTTTTTAAAAAGAAGTCTCCATTCAGAAGTCTGAAGTAGAAAAGTAAATTCTCTTAAGATATTCATTTATTTTCTGTAAGTTAGAAAAACCTGAAGAATCTTCCATTTCTTTATAACCAATGTGCTAATCAATATACCTAGCAATGCCTTGGAATAATGGTAAGAGGCATTAATAATATTTATTTGATCTATTTTTAAACAGTTTATATTTTCTTTCTAATTGTTTCCAAAATCATTATCTTTATTGTCCTCTAATTTACACTGAAAACAACATTCTTTAAAGAAAATGACAGGTAATCTAATCCAATTGCTTAGAATGCTTGGAAGTTCTGCTTTAGAAAAGGTTTGACTCATGGGATCTGAAAGGGGAGGGCAATGGTCCCACATGTTCATTCTGCATCTCTGATTTGACATTTAAGTATTTGCTGTAGTGACTATCTGTAAAAAGCTCAGCTCTGCCTGCCATTTACAAAGGACCCTTTAGTCAGAAATAATGTCTCAGAAGCTAATTTTAAATGATTGCTGTTAAATTTTGAGCTTTCATCATGTTTATGACCCTGCTAAGTGCTGTAGACCCCAGAAGATGGCAATGGTATTTCTAGGCATAGCAATATAATTCAATGAGTTGGTGTAAAATGTGAAATTTTACAAATTTATGTGGTACCTTGTTCCTTTGGTATTCAAAGTATTTAATATACATAATCTCACTCATTGTCTCACAGTTATATTTCTTCAAATTTGTCAAAAGTACATGTAAATTAAAATTTTAAATCAAATTTTAGTCAAATTTGTCATCTAATAAAAAACTTAGACTAATTTACTTACGTTGCTTATTTCTAAAACTACAACAACCTCAAAGTACCCCTCAGGTAGTATATTACTATCTTTGTGCTGTGCTATATATGAAGAAAAGTACATTAATATCTTCTTTGTGTTACACAGCATTGGAGGATTGCTGTACATTGTCTGTAGACTTTGTTTTGATCTTACACAATATTTCTTACTCTCCTGTCTTCCTTTTTTTCTTGTAGTACTTTGATATACTCAGTGGAATACCTGCAGAAGATTTGTCTTATTATGGTGGTTCAGTAGAAATTGCTGACTACTGCCCTTTCAGTCAGGAATTCAGTTGGCATTTAAGTGGTGAATATCAGCGCAGCTCAGATTGTAGAATATTGGAAAATCAACCAGGTTAGTAGTTTACTGAAATAACAAGTTATTGAAGTGACATTAAATACTAAAATTACATGTCAGCAATATAAAACAGTGGTTAAGGGCACAGACCCAAGAACCAGACTGTCTTGGGATTATATTGTGGGTCCACTGCTATCCATCTGTTGTAAGTAACTTAACTTCTTTGTGCCTCAGTTTCCTCCTCTGTACAAAGTGAATAATAATACCTATCTCATAGAGCTGTGAAGATTAAATGAATTCATACAGTAAGTGCATTGAACTATCACACATACAAAGAACTGTTAGCTGTTAGATCCACTTGCATATGTGTGCACACACAAGTTTTTAGTAATACCTTAGATCTATGTGACACTTCTGATTTGCAAAGCACCTTCATTTTTATTATTTGATTTTATTCTTCTGAAAACCTGATGAGACACATAGAGAAGATATTACTGAATTTCACAGATGAACAAAGAGGCACTAAATTATTATTTAATTAACTCCCCACAGTTAATTGGGGTCAGTGCAAGATCCTCCAATACAGAGCTTTTTTATTAAATCATATTGGGTATCCTATTTTTGCTCTGTCCTGAGGAATGTGTATTTTATGTAATTTAGAAGTAACGTGTCATTCTCCACATATCAGAATAATATTGTCCCATGGCTAGAGATGCATTATAATATCATTTACTCCCTTTTAATACATATAAATGAACAGCTCATCAAAGGAAAAAACAGTATGGCAGTTGGTATTTAGTGATTACTTACTGCTCATACTACTTTTGTAAACAGAATGTCCTCACATCTGATATGTCAACAAAGAGCATAAGTAGTTTTTCTCTCTGTGGTCATCAAAATCTTTAACCTGGTCCTTTTTTGTCCCCCCTTATTCCATATTTTATTACTGACTAAGTCATTTAGATTTTAAATTTCCATAATGGTTTTTCCTTTTATTCTTCAGCCTAGTAGATTTAACCAGATTTGTTCAGTCATTTTTTTCCATCACTCACCTAACTTAATAAATGTCTAAAAACTTGCAACTACTCAACAGTTCTGTGTTAAAGCAAAGAAATGCACAGATCTGTCAGTTATGGGTTTGCCAAAAATATAGTACACAAATTTATTGTTTTAGAGCTGGAGTTCATGAACATTTATTATAAAGAGCAAGATATTAATTGCCTTAGGCTTTGTAGCTCATGCAGTCTGTTGCAGCTATTCAACTCTGCTGTTAGAGTGTGAAAGGAGTTACAAACAACATGTAAATGAGCGAATGTGGCTGTGTTCCAATAAAACTTTTTATAAAAGCAGGTAGCCCTCAGGGTTTGGCCTGAGGGCTATAGTTTGCTGTCCCCCCTTTGACACTGTCCACTACTGTTTTTCAAGGACTTTGAAATATTCATAAATAAAAGAAATACAGAGTTCTGTTTAATTATTTTACATTTTTTCTTAGCTTCTACAATTAAGATTTTTCAAAACTGACGTAAAATACTTATCTTTGTATTTCAAAATGGACTAATTGAACATTCTGCTTTCAAAAGATAAAAAAGTTATTGTTGGGGTTTAGTCTCATTCCTTTATCCATTAGCCATTTAGAGGTTATTTAATCCACCCCATACCTTAGCAGGTTAGTCCTTAGTCTGAGACTGGATCAGCATGTAATTTATTGACTTCCAGGAGATAGAATAAGGTGAAAATACTAGGAAGTTTTGCAAAAGTTGCAATATCCCCCAAAACCCTTCATTATGTAAGTCACTTGGCTTCATCCTATCATAGGTCACTGGGGTGGTAGCTCCTATTTAGGCCACCAGTGATGATTCATCATGCCATTTCCTCTATGTATCTAATTTAGATACTTTAAGCCCAGTTTTATCTCGTTTCTGGTGTAATAATTTTATCTCACTAATTATTTTATTGAGAAACCCAGTTTAAGTTTGGAGCCCTATTTCTCTTAATTTTTTTAATTGAAAATTTCCATTAATCATGTTTATTTTTTTTTAATTAAGGTATCATAGATATACAATCTTATGAAGGTTTCCCATGAACAACATTGTGGTTTCGACATTCAACCATATTATCAAGACCCCCCCACAACCCCATCGCAGTCACTATCAGTGTAGTAAGATGCTATAGACTCATAACTTGTTTTCTCTTTGCTATACTGCCTTCCCTGTGATCCCCCTAATTATGCATGCTAATCAGTATGCCCCTTAATCCCATTCTCCCTCCTTCCCCACCCACCCTTCCTAATCCCTTCCCTTTCGTAACCGCTAGTCCCTTCTTGGAGTGTCTGATGCTGTTTTTTTCCTTCAATTTTTTTGTTGTTATACTCCACAAATGAGTGAAATCATTTGGTACTTGTCTTTCTCTGTCTGACTTATTTCACTAAGCATAATACCCTCTAGCTCCATCCATGTTGTTGCAAATGGTAGGATTTGTTTTCTTTTTATGGCTGAATAATATTCCATTGTGTATATGTTAATCATCTTCAATTTTTAAAGCAGCTTTTAATCATAAGAATGGAATGCTTTCTTGTTCTTTGAGCCAAAAGTCAATTTTTAAGAAAACTTCTCTGGTTTGCTTCAGACCTTTCTAAAAACTATGGTGCTGAAAAGTACGGGCCTCATTCAGTTTGTCTAATTCAGAAGTCAGCATTTGTCATGGAAAAGTGTGAGAGGAAGCTGAGTTACCCAGACTGGGGGAGTGGGTGTTATCAGGTAAATGATATGATTTTTAATAATGATTATTATATTATTAAATATTATATAATTTTATCTCATGGTTTTTATATTTTCAAATACATTTTGTATCTTTTAATATAATTTATTTATTTATTAATACTTTAATTTATTGATTTATGTAAATATTAGTTTGGACACTTGTGTTTTGTGAAATTATTGTCATTTCTTTGAGAGAAATTGCCTTTCTCCATTTTGTTTAAATATGTATGTATACACATACACACACACACATATAATGGCTGTGTATCAGCAAGTTTTATAATAATTTTATGTCTGGGTATATATCCTAAGAAAATAAGGAAAATATGTAATTTTGTTGTTGAACAAATATTTCTTTGTAATGGGAAGATTGACAGTTTTGTTTCATAAAACCTGAAGAAACCATGGATTTAAGAATAAATCAATCAACTACTGATTAGTAATGAGTTTTTTCCTTTGAAATTAGAAATCCAAAAAGGACAAGCTACTATTTTCTTTTTTTTTTTTAAGGTTTCATATTTAATTTAATAATAAATTCACAAATACATGAGTATTTTGTGCCTAGTGGCCTTCCTTATATTGTTTGTATTTCCAACAAACCCTTCAAAAGTGGGACCTTCCCCTGGAGAGGAGCTTGAAAAGATTCCCAGCTGTGATATAAACCTTAAAAAGGGTCATATGTGCCCTGGTTGTAAAGCAATCAAGAAGATAATTTCATGTTTCCCAAAGTACTGTTTTCTGAATTATTTTATTTGCACAGTCAATATTAAATGACTGTCACTGTATTAAAAACTTGTTAAGATACAGCCATTCTATACTTAGGAGTATTCAGCTTAAAGAATATTCCATTTTACAGCATTTTACTACGCAGATGGACAGTGACTGTGGAGGGGTATGTCTGGGGGACTTGGTGAAGGGGGGAGCCTAGAAAACATAATGTTCTTCATGTAATTGTAGATTAATGATACCAAAATAAAAAATAAATAAATAAATAAAATAAATATTCCATACCCTACTAATGTATGTCAGGGAAGAGCGTATGATCCTGAGAACTGAAAAATAAGAATTCCTTATGTCATTTCCACTGCAAGAGCTAAATGGAGTTCTGTAGCTGGGAATTTAAGTTACTTTAAAATTACTTATCAAATTAACTTTTTGGGTAATGATTTATATAGATATAATTCATACACCATATAATGCATATAAAATTATCTTTTAAAACCTTATAAAAGACAATTTTAAAAAATACTTTCCAGCTATAATCTGACAACTGTAACTCAACAACCATTTTCTGATAAAGTTCATTAAAGATTTGTGTATTGATTAAACACATAACATTGATCTAGTTCTAATCATAATACATGATTTTGTTTTACTGCCTTCACTTAGCACTTTTTATGTAGAGCAAAATGCTTTTATCCAAGTTTATCATAATTAGGGAAGTTATTTTCTTGTTATATATTGAGTTAATTTTTACTTTTTGCAGTATAAAAAGGCTTTATAAGAATATTTACAAATTTTACCTTTTTAAAATTTGTTTTTTAAAATAAATTTCCATTAAGTGAGACTATTAGGTTAAAAGGGATAAAGCTAGGACAGTAACAACTGTAATAGGGAAATGACCCTTTCAGGCTGTTTTAATGTTTTATTAACACCACCACCAGCACAAAGGGATTATGCAGATTTGTAATACTTGTGGCTTCCCTGTACCTAGTATTATCATTTAATTTTGCTAATTTAATACTAACCACCGTTTATGTGGGAAAATGTGAATGATTTTCAAACAACATATGGATTAGCTATTTTGTTTTTTAATTTATTTTGACAGAAAGTTGTACAAATGGTACAATTTTTTTGTCATTTAAATGCAAATTTCCAACATGCTGCCCCTTTACCCCCAAACACTTTCTGCGTTTCTTATAAACAAGCACTTCCTCCTACATAACCAAAAAAGTACCAAAAAATCAGGAAATTAACGATGATACATCTAATTCTCAGACCCCATTCAAGTTTTGCCAACTGTCCCAATGACACCCTTTTAATGGTAGGATCTGGACTAATATGACATGTTGTGTAGTTGTCATGTCCTTGGTTTCCTTCAATCTGGAACAGTTCTCAGTCTTTTATTGACTTTCATAATCTTGACACTTTAAAAAATATATAAGCTAGTTCTTTTCTAGAATGTGTCTCAGTTTCGGTTTGTGTGATGTTTCCTCATGATTAAATTCAGGTAATATATTTGGGGCAGTAAAATCACAGAAATGATGCTTATGTTCTTCTGATGATACACTCTTAATTTGTCCCTTTCCTGGTGATGCTAACTTATTCATATCTACCAACCTTCACCACTGTCAAGTTACCCCTTTCTCTTAATTAATTCCCTTTGCAATGAATATGTGTTTGGGGGAGGGTACAATTCAATAACCAAATTTTTAATCATACTTTAATTGTATTGATTTAGGTATATATATATGTATGTTTATGTGTGATAAAATATGGGAAAATGTGTATGATTATATATACTGATATATATATATTAGTATTGACTTGTGGATTCCACTTTATTCAGTGAGTATTACCATTACTATCATTGGATTCCACTTTATTCAGTGAGTATTACCATTACTATCATTATTTATTTTGATACTCAAGTTGCTCCAAGTTTGACCAGAGGGAGTCCCTTCAGGCTGGTTCCTTTGTCCTTTTTAGCCTGTCCCTATCTTTCTTTGAATATTTCCCTATTTTCTGGCACAAGATATTCTAGGCTTATCTTTACTTTCTTTGCTCCAGTCCTGGAATCAGCAATTTCTCGAAGGAACTCTAGTTTCTTTTAGTGGAGTATGGTACTTGGAGACTAAGATCTGGGTGCTGGATGTACTGTTTATTTCTATTAGAATATAGCTGCTCCTCAAGACCTCTTGGTGAACAGAGCTAGGAAATATATGTACGTATGCAATTTATACATATGCTCATACATGTGTTTGCACCAATATCTTTGATCCCAGTCTGGCACCAGAGCATTTATTTTATTTTTCTCTCTTTCCATATTTGTAACTCCTTTCTCTGACAGAGAAATCTGGCTCTCATTGTCCTTAATATGCTTACATATTTGATCTGTTCACATTCCTTCCATCTTTTCTCACTCCTGTATGATTTACCCTCCTTACTCACTTGGACTCTGACACAACCTACCAAATCCCATCTCTTGATCCAAATTCTGTACACATCTTTATGATATAGTGCTTTTCTTCCGTGAAACTTTCTAATCTTCATTGTTCTGGGGTTTTTTAAATCATTTATTGACTCTTACTCATGAAACCATATGACACTGTTAATTTTGGGGGAAAAAATTGTATCTCACCATCCTCTCCTCAGTTAAAGCTGCTAGAGGGCAGGCACTGTGGCATGGACTTGCATATTCATGTCAACACCAACTATGATACTCACTTAATTCTCACTTAAAAGAATGATAACCTTGTACAGTAGCTCTGCTTGTGGTTACTGGATATGTGGGTCATTGAATGGCACTTATGGAAGAGGTTACACTTTGTTCTCTTGAGCTTACTGTAACTGAAATTTCCAAATGAGTTTTTTCTCTGAACAGAGAATCTCAGATAGAAAAAAAGAATAAAGGACTTTTACTGTCTACATTTCTGTGCTGTATACATTTTTTTTTTCACAAGAAGTATTCTTTTGATAATTTAAAACAACTAATAAAATTTGATTTATAAAATGTAGTGACTTGTGGAGAGAATCCCATGAGTAACAGCTCTTTGATTTAATATGAAGTATGTGAGGATACTGGAATCTATGGAAATGCTGTTTTGATAACTTGGCTTCAGGGGTTGTAAATCCAAATTGTATGTAAAGCTGTGCATTACCTTGTATTTTTGAGGAAAAGTGTCCATAGCCTTCATCAAAAATTTTTTTAAGGTGCTAGACTAAAAGTTTAAGAACAACTCCCATATAATGAAATTCTTTTAGAACCTGAATAACTTAACCTTCTTTAAATGAGATTAGAGATATGCCCATCTCCCAAATTGTGTTTTATAGCCAGTATTTTTAGTAAATTTAAATGTAATTTCCTGCAGTTGAACGAAAAGGCACACATAGTAGAATCTTACTGAGCTGATATGTTTTTCCTCTTTGAAGGTTTCTTGTTCTCCACAAGGTCTGAAGGTTTGGGTCCAGGATACTTCATATTTGTGTAGTCGGACCGGGCAGGTCCTCTCCATCAGTATTCAGATGAATGGCTGGATTCACGATGGCAACCTGCTCTGCCCATCATGTTGGGACTTCTGTGAACTCTGTCCTGCAGAAACAGATCCTCCAGCTACTAACTTGAGCCGAGCTCTACCACTGGGTGAGTAGTCTCTGTGGGTAAAGAGATGAGCTCTTCTTATGTTGAAAATACCCTTCTTATGTTGAAAATGCCCTTCAGTGAAGTGCTTAAGCAGGTTGAGCATCTTCTCTTCTAATTGCAGTTTTATGGGAAAACCTCCCTCCCTCCATCGTTAAAGATTTGAAAGTGGGTAAACTTGTGACTTCTGTTCAGTAGGAGCAAGGGAGAAGAAGCTTTCTGTGCGAAGAATCTCTGACTTACACGAAAAAATTCATTGAAGGTTATAAAAAATGAGTGTTTTAACCATTCAATTTGAAGTTGAGTAAACAAAATTCCATTCATTAAATTAAAGAAGCAGTTAAATATATTTATAGCTAGATGAGGTGAAAGAGAGGGAAAGACACTAGAAAAGATCTCAAAGAAGGAATTGACATCCACAAAGAACAGAAAGATGCGAAGAGACACAAGTATGTACACACACAGTGAGAGAGAAAGACAGGCTGGCAGAGACCAAGTGGTTTTCACTGAGCAATATTTTCTCATTCTGTAAGACTCCAGAGAGTAGAATGGAGACCAGTAGTTTGAAGTTGTAGGGAACCAGATTCCAGTTAAATCATTTAGAGCCAAGAGAGGAATGGAAATAACTGCTTTGAGAAGAATGCATTCTCCATTATTGAAGATGTGCAAACTGAGGCCCATGGCCAATTTCTAAGAGTTAGAAAAGCAGAATTCATGAATTCTTAATTAAAGCTTTGACCGATCATCCATGAGATTTTAATTAAATGACCCATGAAATGTTATGGCAGTTAGACAATTTAGGATCTGAGTAATAAAGATCTTATGCAATTTTTTGTTTTCTTAATTGGAGGTACTTTTTTAATGGAACTGTATAAACCTTTTGTCTATTGCATAGTTGAAAAAGAAAGGCTACTTTCACTTTACTCAACTCAAAAGTTTCGCTGCCTCTAAAATTTTTCAGTTCACAACCTTTTGAGTGCTTCCCAGATATGATCCAAAACTGGCTCCCATACATGGTGAACAGGGAGAGACAGAAGAAAAAAGGTGGGCCACTCCAGATTGGTAGGTGGTAGTTAAAATAAACGTGGGAACTTACATATGAGGCTTGTCCTGGGTGGGCCGGGTCAAGGAACTATTAAACGATTAGTTCCTGTCCTGAGAACATGACAAAGACAAGTGAACCTTTTGGAAGGAGGTGGGAAGTACAGATTGCAAACCATTCTGCCTCCTCTACCTTCACCAATCTGTACTTTAGACTGTACTTCTTATCCTGCTCCCTTTTTATCAGTCACCCTTCTGATACTGTGATGTTATGATATTTCTTTGCCTGTTAACCATTTCTATGAGGAATCATGCTCAGAAGAGTACTGTAACCTCCAAATCACTACCACGATTTTGAAACATGTATAAATACTACAAGAATGGCTATCTTTTAGGCATTGCTTTTTAAGCATTGTAAGTATCACTGATGAAATTCTAAAATATGCTAACTTTCCATATTTGTTAATGTGTGTGAATAGAGCACACACTGAGCCTTTACTGAATATTTATAAAACTGTGTAACAAGAACTATAGCAAACTACATATGCTGTTTCTTGCAGGTAAATAGTTTATTTCTTTTTAATATTTTCTTATGACTCACTAAACTTGTAGAAATAATATTTGATGTTTTAAATGTACTTGTTTGAGAAATACAAATAGTTAAAATTCACCTATTATGAAGCTTATTAAACAAATGATCAATCCTTAATCTGTCTTACAATTTAAAATATTTAGGCTTTTAAGTATGCCTTTATTTATTTTTTTTATAAGATATCATTGGTACTCACATGAAAAACAATGTGGTTGCTACATTCACCCATATTGTTGAGTCCCCCCAAATACCCTAATGCGGTCACTGTCCATCAGTGTAGTAAAATGCCACAGAATCACTACTTGTCTTCTCTGTGCTGCAGTGTCTTCCCCATGATCCCACCACACTCCATGTGTACTAATCATAATACCCCTCAATCCCCTTCTCCCTCCCTCCCCTACCCCTCCTCTACCCCTCCCCTTTGGTAACCCCTAGTCCCTTCTTGGAGTCTGTGAGTCGGCTGCTGTTTTGTTCCTTCAGTTTTGCTTTGTTGTTATACTCCACAAATGAGGGAAATCATTTGGTATTTGTCTTTCTCCAGCTGACTTACTTCACTGAGCATAATACCCTCTAGATCCATCCACATTGTTGCAAATGGTAGGATTTGTTTCTTTCTTGTGGCTGAATAGTATTCCATTGTGTATATGTACCACATCTTCTCTATCCATTCATCTGCTGATGGACACTTAGGTTGCTTCCATATCTTGGCTATTATAAATAGTGCTGCTATAAACATAGGGATACATATGTCTTTTTGAATCTGAGAAGTTATTTTCTTTGGGTAAACTCCACGGAGGGGGATTCCTGGGTCAAATGGTATTTCTATTTTTAGTTTTTTGAGGAACCTCCATATTGCTTTCCTAAGTATGCCTTTAAAACATCAAAACTGCTGAGATTCTACAGGAAGTATAAAAGATATTCCTCTCCCCAAATTCTTCTGATTTTTGTTATTCTCAGGTATTAGTTCTCATAGCCTTTTCTTACATTTGTCATTTCTTTTAGAATGTAGAGTTCTTACCTTCTTTTCTCTCTCCTTTCCTGTAGTTATCACTTTTAAATTCTAGGGTGTAATTAGATAGTTCTATATTGCCCAAGATAGTTTTCACTAGTGAATATAAAAGATTAATTTCTAAATTCTGTCTGGTCTCTTAAAATTGTAGGGGTTGTTTTGTTTCCATTTATGGAATGCTAAACACTTTGCCAAGTGCTTCCTGTCTCTGTTGCTGTATTTAATCATCACAAAATCTAATGAGATAAGAATTATCATTGTATACATGAGAAAACTAAGGTGTAAAGAAATTAAGTAATGTATTCACTGTCACAACTAGTATCGAGGTTGAGATTGAAACCCAGATCTGAGTGTCTGTAATTCATTTTGAAACACCATATTTAAGTCTTTTTGTTATCACAGAAAGGGCAGTGCTTTTGAAGGACAACACATGTTCTAAAGCTGCCATTAATGTTTTAGTAGCTTGTTAAATTTTAGTACTAACAATAAATAAACAGTAGTTTTCCTCCTATTTCCTTTGGACAGGTTGAGATTCAGGAGATAAAGGGAGATGCCTGTGTTATCAGTGACTCCAGGGTCCATTCTTTATTTAGCCAAGACCACTCTCCCTGCCTAGGCCAGACCTTACCCGATCCATGTTCTGGGTTGTTGGAAATGTTCTGTCATTAGCAC